CCGCTCAAGCGGCGACCACCACCAACAATTCGACGAGTGCAGCGAAGGCGGCGCCCGGCGACAGCGACGGCAGCGGCACCGCGGCCTCGCACTCCGCCTCCCCCCTTGCGCTGCTGCTGCTGCTTGTGTGTGCGGCTGCCGCTGCGATGGTGGCCGCGTGAGAGGGAGAGGGATACTGCCGAGCGCACTCACAATTCTTTCTGTTTCCTCCACGCTCCGTGTGTGCGTTTCCCTGCACGTACCCTCTCGCCCTCGCCGCACCCCACGAGGCAGACACACACAATGTGCTCGTATATACACCACCACTCATGCGGGCCCGTCGGCTTTATTTTTGTTTTGCCTCCTGATGAGCCGCTGCCGTCCTGCTTGGCTGCATGGGTACAGCACCGTAACTGTTTTTATCCTTCTTAATAGTTTGTTTGTTTCCATTGCTTTCAGTGGGCGACCTCTCTTTATTTCTTTCTCTTCCTGGATTGGGCTGTGCGGGAACAGAGAGAACGTGTGTGTGCTGGTCATCCCACGTTTTGCTGCGCGTCCCCACTGCTCGGTGGACGCGCCCCCACGCTTCGGCTTCGCTTCACGGGTTTGTTTGTTTTATTTTGTGTGTTTGTTGGTTGACTGCACCCATTGCGCGGGCTGCTGAAGTGTGATGTGCATGCGTGTGCCACAAAGTGTGGGTGGTGGCCCTCTCTCTCCCTCTCTCTCTTGCTGCGTGGCTGCGTGGACTCGTTTGCCTTTTTTTCTTTTTGCCTCTCCCCTCTCGTTTTCCTTTTGGTTGGTGTTGGGTGTTCAGCCGCAGCGCAAGCCAACGATAACTGCGAAGGAAGGAACTCATGTACTCAATGCCTGGGAGACGCGAGGAAGGAGTTCGCGCTGCTGCGGGGGCGCTCTGCATGTGCTGCGCCGCAGGGACGGTGTCGGTGGAGGTCGGGGCCCGCCGGCGGCACTCGGCAGCCCGCAGCGCAGCGGGGAAGGGCGGAGGAGGCACCGCCGCGGCCACAGTGAGCCCTTGACCGCACGGTGGAGGGAGTGTGCGAGTTTGCGCTC